TAGATATTCTAGTGTATGCAAAGTCTTTTTTTCTTTTTTGTATTTTGTCACTGACCTCTTTGGGATATATGCCTAGTAGATCAAAGAATGTGAACATTTTAGCCCCTTTATTTCTGCAATTTAAGATTTCTTTCCAGAACAGTTGCACTAATTCATAGCTTCACTAAGAACATCATAACGTTTTTATCATTCCACAACAGGACTCCTCAAACACTGAATGTTTCCTATCTTTGCTAATTTACATATTTGCAGGTTGTGAGATAAATATTCAGGTTTTTTATTTACATTTTTAACATTAGTGATTTAGATAATTCTTTCATGGTTTTTAAGAGTAAGCAATACTTCTTTTGGAAATTGTTCATTTTGTTTTACCATTAATCTATTGAAAAATGGCTTTTGGTCTTCTATTTTTATACTAGTTGTCTACATATTTTGTATATTGAGCCAATCACTGACAGATATTTCATTCAAAAATTTTTTTTGCCAGTCTACTGTTTCCATCCTTAAATTAGATGCATTATTTTGTGTGTGTGCAAAAGCTTTTCAAATTCATATAACCAAAATCATAAGTTTTATTTCTTGCAATGACATTTATCTCTTGTTTGGTTAGAAACATATCTCTTGCCCTTACCTGTTAAAAAATGCCTGATTGGGGGGGCAGAGACAAGATGGTGGAGTGAAAGCAGTGACTTGCTTGAGCTCACCCCAAACCCCTCCAAATACTCATAAAAATGGCTCTAAAAAAATTCTGAAGCAGCAGAACCCACAAAAAGACAGAGTGAAACAAATTTCCAGCCCATGACAACCTGGATGATTGATCAGAAAGGTGTATCATGCTGGGCTGGGAGCGCAGCGCAGCGTGGGTGCGCAGGCCTCAGCGAACCTGAAGCAGGCCTCAGAGGACTGAATCTCGGGCAGCTGTGGAGGTTTCCAGACTCCTCAACCCACTAATGCCAAAGACAACTGAGAAGGTCACTGGGAAAAGTTTGTTTCTCAGGTGGTGAGAGAGGAGCACAAGGTCTTAGCTTCATTCCCCAAAAGCATGACCCTGGGGGGGAGGCGGTAACTGCCCCTTTAGCTTCCAGCCTGCAGACTGAGGGGGAATGCAGTGGCTGATCAGAGAGGAATTGCAGGGATCTCTGCAAGTGCTGAGGCAGGAATCTTTTGCTTTGCCTGTGAGTGGATCTGGGTCACAGTTCTGAATGGCAGTCCTGGGGTGAGGAGGAGTGCTGGCATGGTGGAGCTTGTAGTGGCTATGAAGAGAAAATCCTCCTCACAGTTCCAGGACAGAAAGGAGTACTTGTGGTCACTAATAGACCAGGCACAGGCCAGGAAAGGAAGAAACACCTTGCCCCTTATCATACCACCTTGCAAGAACTGAAAATTTACTGGTCCCTACAAGTATCTCTGAAAACAGCTATACAAACCCCTGAAGCTTGGGACAGTACATTCCCCCACTTGGAAGCAGACTCTTACCTTAACAAAGAGTTTAAAACTCAAGTAATTGTCCAGGATCATGAACAAGCAGTACAAAAAGAGTCAGACTATATTATCTTACTTTGGTGACAAAGAAGATCAACATATACAACCAGAAGAAGACAACAAAGTCAAAGCTCCTATATCCAAAGCCTCCAAGAAAAATATGAATCAGTCCCAGGCCTTGGAAGAGCTCAAAAGGGATTTTGAGAAGCAAGTCAGGGAAGTAGAGGAAAAACTGGGAAGAGAAATGAGAGTGATGTAAGAAAATCATGAAAAACAAGTCAACAGCTTGCTAAAGGAGACCCAAAAAAATACTGAAGAAATTAACACCTTAAGAAATAGTCTAACCCAAATGGCAAAAAGGTCCAAAAAGCCAATGAGGAGAAAAATGCCCTAAAAAGAAAAATTGGCCAAATGGAAAAGGAGGTCCAAAAGACTACTGAAGAAAATACTTAAAAATTAGAATAGAGCAATGGAAGCTAGTGACTTTATGAGAAATCAAGACATTGTAAATCAAATCCAAAAGAATGAAAAATTGGAAAAAAAATGCGAAATATCTCATTGGAAAAACAACTGACCTGAAAAATTGATCCAGGAGAGAGAATTTAAAAATTATTGGACTACATGAAAGCCATGATCAAAAAAGAGCCTAGACATCATCTTTCAAGAAATTATCAAGGAAAACTGCCCTGATATATTAGAACCAGAAGGCAAAATAGAAATTGAAAGAATCTACCAATCTCCTCCTGAAAGAGATCCCCAAAGGAAAACTCCTAGGAATATTGTAGCCAAATTTCAGAGTTCCCAGGTCAAGGAGAAAATATTACAAGCAGCCAGAAAGAAACAATCCAAGTATTGTGGAATCACAATCAGGATAACTCAAGATTTAGCAGCTTCTACATTAAAGGACTGCAGGGCAGGGAATATAATATTTTGGAGGGCAAAGGAGATAGGATTACAACCAAGAATCACCTACTCAGTAAAACTGAGTATAATCCTTCTGGGGAAAAAATGGTCATTCAGTGAAATAGAGGACTTTCAAGCATTCTTGATGAAAAGACCAGAGCTGAATAGTACATTCGACTTTCAAATACAGGACTCAAGTGGAACGTGAAGAGGTAAACAGGAAAGAGAAATCATAAGAGACTTATTAAGATTAAACTGTTTACATTCCTGCATGGAAAGATGATATTTATAACTCATGAGACCTTTGTCAGTATTAGGGTAGTTGGAGGAAAAAAATTGTATGTATGTAGCTAGACAAACAGATAGACAGATAGATAGATAGATAGATAGATAGATAGATAGATAGATAGATAGACAGATAGTCAGATGGCACAGGGTGAGTTGAAGATTAAGGGGTCATATCTGGAGAATAAAATTAAGGGATGAGGGAGGATTATACTCGGAGAAGAAGAAAGGGAGAGGTAGAATGGGGTAAATTAACTCACAAAAAAAAACAGAAAAGAAAAGTCTCTTACAGTGGAAGGGAAGCAGGGGAAGGTGAGAGGGAATGAGTAAATCTCATTCTCATAGGATTTGGCTTAAGGAGGGAATAACATACACGTTCAATTGGGTATGGAAGTTTGTCTTACCCTACAAGAAAATAGGGGGAGAAGGGGATAAGAGAGCATGGGGATGATAGAGAGGAGGGCAGATTGGAAAAGGGTGTAATCAGAAGTAAATACTTCTGAGAAGGAACAGGGTCAAAAGAAAGAATAGAATAAATGGGAGGGCAGAATAGGATTAAGGGAAATCGAGTTAGTTTTTCACAACATGTCTGCTATGGAAGTGTTTTGCATAACTGCACATGTACAACCTATATTGAGTTGCTTGCCTTTTCAATGAGGGTGGGTGGGAAGGGAGAAAGAGAGAAAATTTGAAACCTAAAGTTTTAAAAACATATGTTTAAAAAAAAGTTTTCACATGCTATCAGGAAATAAGAAATACAGGAAATGGGGTACAGAAGACTATTCTGCCCTACAGGAAAATAGAAGGGGAAGGGGATAAGAAAAGGAGGGAGAGAAAGAAAAGAGGACAGACTGGGGGAAGGGATATTCAGAATGCATGCCATCTTGGGGTGGGGGGAGGGTGAGATGGGTTAAAAATTTGGGACTCAAAACCTTGCGGAAATGAATGTTGAAAACTACAAATAAATAAATTTATATATTTTTTAAAAAAGTCTGATTTAGGGGGCAGCTAGGTGGTGCAGTGGATAGAGCACCAGCCCTGGAATCAGGAGGGCCTGAGTGCAAATCTGGCCTCTTAACACTTACTAGCTGTGTGACCCTGGGTAAGTCACTTAACCCCATTGCCTAGCCAAAAAAAAAGTAGGATTATTTTTTTTTAATTTCTCATGATTCAATCTTTAATAGCCTGGTCACCTATCCAATTTAAATTTATTGTTCAATAAAGTTTAAGATGTTAGTCTAATCCTACTTTCTGACAGTATGTTTTGTAGTTTCTCAAAAGTTCTTATCAAAAAGGGATTTCTTCTTAAGTGATTTATGTTTTCAGCTTTACTTAGCATCACGTTATTGAGTTATATTCCTTCTGATTCTCCTTGTCAAGTCTGTTTCATTATTTTACTTTCATGTTTTTAATCACTAGTGGATGGTTTTGAAAATTGCTGCTTTATAATATTTTGACATCTAGACATACTATTCCCTTTTCATTCATTTTTAAAAATTATTGCCCTGGGTATCTTAGATTTTTTTACTTCAAAATAATTTTGTTATTATTTTATCAAGGTATTTTTTTTGAAGAATCTCTTTGATAGATTGATAGGCTTAGCATTAAAACTTGTAATAATATCATTTTATTATAGTGAGGTGACTTAGCCATAAAAACTAAATATTCTTCCAGCTTTTTATTTTAATTCTTTATTTTTAAGGCATATTTTAAATTGAAACTATGCAAGTATTTAGTATGCTTTGGTAGCTGAAGTTCCAAATATTTTCATTTTGTAGTTATTTTGAATGGAATTTCCATTTATATTATTTTTGTCTTAGATTTTTTATCGTATAGAAGTGCTGTTGATTTTTTGTGAAAATATTTTGTAGTTTGAAACTTTGTTAAAGTTATTGCATCAGTTAGTTTTCTGTGAATACCCTAGGATTTCATAAGCAAGCAATTATGTAATCAACAAATAGGGATAGCTTCAGATACATGTTTCTACTGTGCTTCACATCTTGTAGGCCCCTGACATCATTACATAATTAGATACTGAAACAGTATTGTGTAGAACAAAGACCAAAAAGAAACAAACACATGAAAAGTACAGCAAAGAATGTTGGTTCACCATTGAAAATGCTAACTTCTTAAGGATTTCTTAAAAATATTTGATTTATGCCCAATCTACTCACTATGTACTTCACAGTTTCATGTTTTTGAGCAATCCTGCTTTTCTGTATGACTTATCGAAAGACCTCCAAATATCATATAATATAAACACCCCATGACTGAGAACAATTACATATTTTAAAATATTTCTAGCCAAGGAGGCATTCATGCCTACATACCTGGTTTAAACTCATCTTTTTTGATTCTTTCATTTCTTCATACTTGCATTTCCAAAGAGACAATGCTGACTCGAGTAACTCAACTTCTTTTTCCAAAGATGAACGCATTCTAGGAAATTTCAAACAAAACATTTCTAAGACCAATACAAATTAATGAAAAATCACTTTATATATATATGATTAGTAACTCCTTATTTCTATTTAACCATACTTAAGTTATATTCTGAGATTAACAAAATCATTAACCCAGAAATTTCATAAAAAAAGTATGTATATTGACAAAGTCTAAGCTTTCGATTCTGGGAGCCAAGATGGTGGACTGAAAAGGTAGTCGTTCTCACTCTCCTCTATGAACCTCTGCAAACCCAAAAAATATCACCCCAGAAAAAAAACACTGGAACAGCTGACCTAGAAGAGACAGGGAACAGCAGTGCAGCAGCCTGGCAAATGGGTCTCCCAGTTCCTCAGCAAAAATAAGGGAGGCAGAACTACAAGGGGCCCCAGGCAGATAAGTGCCGTGCAGTATTCATCTGAAAAGAGGTGAAGAAAACAATCTAAAAGCTTCCTAAAGCCCTGGCTTTGCTGGTTCCAACCCAGCACCATGTAAGCTGTCAGAGCCCTGCAGGCTCCAACTGTGAAGAAAACCTGAAGCCCAGGTGGTAGAACAGGCAAACACCAACACCTGGACCTCCCAGTGCCTCGGTGAGTGTGGACGGAACCAGTGGAAACCAGCTCAGAAAACCACTAGGTGCCTCAGCACTCTACTGCAAAGGAATCTTCCAGTGCATTAGCAGAAATGAGGGAGACAACACTGCAGGGGGCCCCAGGCAGATAAACACCCTGCAGCGCCCATCTAAAAGGAGCTAAAGAAAGCTAAGGGAAAGGAAGAGCAGGCAACCTAGAATTGCCTGAAAGTTCCAGCCTTGCTGATTCCGGCCCAACACAAGGTAAGCTGCAAGAACCCTACAGCCTCCAACTGTCAACATAAGAGGCCCCAGCACACAAAGCCAGTGACCAAGACCTAGGCTCTCAACACAAGAAGCTTGGGTCAGTGCCCTTTGTTTCCCAGCAGGAGAGCTCAATCTCTTTAAAGGCCAGGGAATAAAGAAACACCATAAGTAAAAAGAAACGCATCATAGATTCATATTATGAGAAGAGTGAAGATCAAGACAGAAATTCTAAAGAGGACAACATTGTCAACAAACCCACATCTGTAACAACAAAAGGGAATATGAACTGGTCTGAAGCCCAAAAAGCCTTCTTAGAAGAGCTCAAGAAGAATTATGATAGTCAAATGAGAGAGGTAGAAGAGTCCTTCAAATATACAATTGGCCAATTGGAAAAAAAATACCATGAAGAAAACACAATTGGCCAATTGAAGAAGGAAGGACAAAAACTAACAGGAGAGTACACTGAAGAAAACAAGTCCATAAAAACCACGATGGGCCAATTGAAGAAGGAAGGACAAAAACTAACAGAAGAAAACAATCTGTTAAAACCTAGAATTGGACAAATCAAAACTAATGACTCTATGAGAGAGAAAGAATCAGTCAAACAGAAAAAAAAATGAAAAAACAAATGAAAACGTAAAAGGCCTCACTGGTAAAACAACCGACCTGGAAAATCGATTCAGGAGAGACAATTTAAAAATTATTGGACTACCTGAAAATCATGATGAGAAAAAGAGCCTGCACAGTATCTTTCAGGAAATCGTAAAGGAAAACTACCTTGAAGTCCTAGAACCAGAAGGGAAAATAACCATAGAAAAAATACACCCATCACCACCTGAAAGAGATCCCAAATTGACAAAAGCAAGGAATATGATAGCAAAATTCCAAAATTACCAGATGAAAGAGAAGGTGGTGCAAGCAGCCAGAAAGAAACAATTTAAATATCATGGAATCACAGTCAGGATTACACAGGACCTTGCAGCTTCTACATTAAAAGACCGTGGGGCATGGAACATGATATTCTGTATGGCAAAAGAGCTTGGATTGCAGCCAAGGATCAACTACCCAGCAAAAATGAACATGATTTTTAAGGGAGGAGATGGACATTCAATGAAATAAGAGACTTCCAAACCTTCCTGACAAAAAGACCAGAACTCAACAAAAAATTTGATCTTCAAGTACAAGATTCAAGAAAGACAGAAAAAGGTAAATGAGACAGAAAGATACAATATGTTGTTAATAAGGGCAGACGGCTTACATCCCTACAAGGAAAGATGACACTTGCAACTCTTGAGAACTGTATTGTTATTACACCATGTTAAAGGAGTGTACCTGAAGGGGGTGGATGTTAGTTGGCTTTGATGTAATGATAAAAAAAAATCTAATCAAGTGGGTTAAATGGATCCAAGTAAGTGGATTAGTCTGATCTTAGAAAATGTACTGAGAAAAGAGGAGGCAGACAAGGGTAAATTACATTATAGGAAAAGACACAAAATCCTATTACAGCAGAGGTAAAGAAGCGGGGTGGGGGGTGAGCATTGTTTGAACTTTACTCTCATCAGATTTGGCTTAAGAAAGGAATAACATAATCAGTTAGGTATAGAAATCTAACTTGCCCTATAGGCAGTAGGAGGGAAAGGGGGAAAGAAAAGGGAAGGGGAATAGAAGAGATGGAATAAGCAGTAAGGGTAAAGGGGAAGAAAAGGGAAAGGGATAATAGAAGGGAGGAGGGACTAAGAGCTGGTTTTATGCAAAAAACAATAAAATAGATAAGCCTTTGGTTAATTTAATTTAAAAAAGAAAAGAACAAAAGCAAATTACCAGTATCAAGAATGAAAAGGGTGAAGATACCACCAAAGAAGAGGAAATTAAAACAATAATTAAGAATTATTTTGCCCAACTATACGCCAACAAGTTTGAAAATCTTAGTGAAATGGATACATATTTACAAAAATATAAATTGCCCAGATTAATAGAAGAGGAAGCGAAATACTTAAATAACCCCATCTCAGAAAAAGAAATTAAACAAGCCATTGATGAACTCCCTAGGAAAAAATCTCCAGGGCCAGATGGATTTACATGCAAATTCTATCAAACATTTAAAGAACAATTAATTCCAATACTATATAGACTATTCGGGAAAATAGGTGAAGAAGGAATCTTACCAAATTCTTTTTATGATACAAATATGGTGTTGATACCTAAACCAGGAAGAGTCAAAATAGAGAAAGAAAATTATAGACCAATTTCTCTAATGCATATAGACACAAAAATTTTAAACAAAATACTACCAAGTAGATTGCAGCAACTTATCACAAGAATAATACACTAAGACTAGGTAGGATTTATACCAGGAATGCAGGGTTGGTTCAATATTAGGAAAACTATCAGCATCATTGAGCATATCAACACCAAAACCAACAGAAACCACATGATCATCTCAATAGATGCAGAAAAAGCTTTTGACAAAATGCAACACCCATTCCTATTAAAAACACTAGAAAGCATAGGTATAAATGGAGTCTTTCTTAAAATAATAAATAGCATATATCTAAAACCTTCAGTAAGCATTATATGTAATGGGGACAGGCTAGAAGCATTTCCAATAAGATCAGAGTGAAAGAAGGATGTCCATTATCACCAGTGATATTCAATATTGTACTAGAAACTTTAGCTTTAGCAATAAAAGAAAAAGAAATTGAAGGCATAAGAATAGGCAAAGAAGAAACAAAGCTATCACTGTTTGCCGATGACATGATGATATACTTAGAGAATCCTAGAGAATCAAGTAAAAAACTACTTGAAATAATAAACAACTTCAGAAAAGTTGCAGGCTATAAAATAAACCCACAAAAATCATCAGCATTTCTATATATTACCAACAAAGCCCAACAGGAAGAGATAGAAAGAGAAATCCCATTTAAACAAACTTACTGTAGACAATATAAAATATTTAGGAGTCTACCTCCGGAAACAAACCCAGGAACTCTATGAACACAATTACAAAACACTTTTCACACAAACAAAATCAGATCTAAATAATTGGAAAAACATCAGTTGCTCATGGGTAGGCCGAGCTAATATAATAAAAATGACAATCCCACCTAAGCTAATTTACTTATTCAGTGACATACCAAACTACAAAAAAATTATTTTATAGAGCTAGAAAAAATAATAAGATTCATTTGGAAAAAACAAAAGGTCCAGAATATCAAAGGAATTAATGAAAAGAAATGCAGGGGAAGGTGGCCTAGCAGTTCCAGATCTTAAATTGTATTATAAAACAGCAATCATCAAAACTACCTGGTACTGGCTAAAAAATAGGGAGGTAGATCAGTGAAATAGGACAAATATGCAAGACACAGTAGTCAATGACTATAGTAATCTATTATTTGATAAACCCAAAGACTCCAGCTTGTGGGATAAGAACCCACTCTTTGAAAAAAAAATGCTGGGAAAACTGGAAAAGAGTATGGCAGAAACTAGGCATAGACCCAAATCTTACACCATATACCAAAATAAAGTCAAAATGGCTTCCTGATATAAAGGCTGATATCATAAGTAAATTGGGAGAACAAGGAATAGCTTACCTAACAGATCTATGGGAAACAGATTTCCTGACCAAACAGGAGATAGAGAACATTATGAAAAGCAAAATGGATAATTTTGATTACATTAAATTGAAAAGTTTTTGCACAAACAAAGACAATGCAACTAAGATTAGAAGGAGGGTAGAAAATCGGGAAAGAATTTTTACAACCAGTCTCTCTGATAAAGGTCTCATTTCTAAAATATATAGAGAATTAAGACAAATTTATAAGAACACAAACCATTCCCCAATTGATAAATGGTCAAAGGATATGAACAGGCAGTTCTCAGAAGAAGAAATTAAAGCCATCTATAGTCATATAGAAAAAAGCTCTGAATCATTATTGATTAGAGAAATGCAAATCAAAACAACTCTGAGGTACCACAGCATCCCTATCAGATTGGCCAACATGACAAAACAGGACAATGATAAATGTTGGAGGAGATGTGGGAAAATTGGAACACTAATACATTGTTGTTGGAGTTGTGAAATGATCCAACCAGTTTAGAGAACAGTTTGTAACTATGCCCAAAGGGCTACAAAAATGTACATACCCTTTGATCCAACAAT